AAAAATATGCTCTTAAAACTACAAAATATATTGGGTTTATAAAATTGATTTACCTTCTCTATAATATCTTTATCTTCAATATTAGATTCATTTCTATATTCATCTAGATTATTGTCTTTACTTATACTAGTTTCAAATGCATTACTACAAGTCTCATTATTTGGTTCTAAAACTGTATTATTTGGTGTCGGTAATATAACAGGAATGTTGGCAATCTATAAATTAGTATAATTAAAATAAATACTAGCTTAATATATTACAACTGTGAACTGATGATAGAACTGTTATTTGTTTATAATTACCAGCTAATAAAAACATATTTTTATATTGAAATTTAAAAATTTGCTTACTGTAATTGTTGACTGCGTTTTTTTTGTAAACATTTGCTCTATATTATAACATTTCGATGATGTTTCAATCAATTTTTTTTTGTTTTTGTCACGTAAACGAGCAGCTCCACCTTTTCTCTTTTTTTCATTTTGTAAATTCATGATGACAGAATTGAAAAAAAATAAATATTCGATAACTAAATTTAATGTCAACACTAAACGTCTTTACGTAAATTACATTAACATGTGAGTATTATGGAAACTTCAATTAGGACCAATTTACGAATATAACCTTACATTTCATTTTCGAGCTATTTTAAGAATGTTTTTTCTGGTAATCAGTCGACGGACGTAGTTAGATAATATTATTATTGTTAAACGTATAACCGTCTGTAACGATATTATATAAATATAGAATTATTCTGAATTACAAGCATAATTATTGTATTCAGGAATAACCGCATACGCCGATACGTACTTATTATATTTTTATATAAACTTATATTTATACTATACTTTATTATACCGCATTTATATTTTATACGTAGATACCAACGGGCAACGATAAAAACATAATCTGAAAGTTGGAAATAGATTTGTTCAATGATAATGCATATTGCATAGACGCATAATGAAAGCTATAATCTAATAAAAAACTAAAAATAATCAATTTTATGCATTATTATGTATTTACCTACATAATATACATAATAGTATAATATTTTATTTTTATGATATATTTTAATTTGTACGCATATAGCCATGGGCCAGCGCCTGTGCGCCGTCGGCGTATTGTAAATTTTAATCTATGCCAATTAGACACAGAAAAAAATAGGGGAGCCAAAGTATACCCTGCTCCCCCCCAAATGGCGCCCCTGTCTGAAGGAAACAATTTTAATTGCATTTATGATTTCATTCGATTCAT